AGTGATGGAAATTGAACACATAACCCACATGCTCTAACTACCAGGCCATGGCAGTCAACTAAACTTTAAATTTATCAGTATAATGTAATACACTAAAAAGGTCTCACAGCTTGATAGACATTGTACCACATTCCTTAAAATAATTGTCATATTTTTGTTGCTTTTTATTGAACTTGAATACTAGTCAATGCAATAACTATGGTATACAAAGGAAAACCTGAACTGCTTGTTGCAAGTAAGGGCATTAAATAAAAGTGCTGTAACAGTCCTTATTACTCACTTTAACTATACCCTTTAAATAGGTCAATAATTTACTCTATCTTACTATAAGAATATGAAAACTTGTATATTTACAGCAGTAATATCGAGGTGATCTAATATTTAACTTTATGGCAAGTTCACTCAAATGGAGTTGGTTTTGTTTTGAATTTTGCACAAAGCTACATGAGGGTTATCTCCACTAGCCATCCCTAATTTAGCAGTGACAGACTAGAGGGAAAGCAGCTAGTCAACACCACCCACTGTCAACTTATGTCCTACTCTTTTACCAACAAATAGTGGGATTGACCATCACATTACAATGCCCCCGTAGCTGAAAGGATGAGCATGTTGGACATGACAGGGCTTCATATCTGTGATCCTCAAATTGCAAGCCAAGCACCTTAACCACCAGGCCATACCAGACCCACTCAAAAGGATGAAAGGGTTATCAGCTGTATAATCAAAGAAAGTTTTCATACTGAAACAACATTTAAAATACAACTTATATACATCCCTTAACTTCTTTTATTAGTACTAATTTTCTTACTAATTGTTTTAAAAACCAAAACTATTAATTTCTTGGTTCCAGCTTATACCAAAATTCTACGTTTTCAGAGCAATGCGGCTCAGTGGCTTTGTGGTTTGGACTCGTAGTCAGATGGTTGTGAGTTCGAGGCTGGCCCACATCATGCTGTTTGTGTTCTTGGGCAAAACAATGTACCCCATTTGTTCCAGTCTACTCAGCTGTATAATAGGTTCCTATCAGTTAACTGGGGGTTAACCTGCAATGGACTGGCACACCATCCAAGAGGAAAGTGTCACCATTCTCACCTGCTTGTGCCATTGGATTTGGAGTTCAAAAGCAATGGGCTTATGTGCCCTATAAGGGCACAGCAGGGATTTAACTAACTAGGTTTTTAGTTTCTATACCAATATATTTACAGCGAGTTAAAAAAATTATACATTATTTAAGAGTACAATTTTTAATCACATTTCTAACATTTCTATGATAACTCACATGTATCAGCATTAAAAAAACAAAACATAAAAACTTTAAACCAAAAAACTCATTTTCATTTTAAAAAAATGGTATTACAAATTGGTTAATATTACCATAATTCTGGTTATACATACATGGTTATATACCATTATTATTAACTGGAGTAGATTACGCTTATTATTTATATCATATTATAGTCATAGATAATTTCAGGTTAATAAAAGATCTTAAACTGAATTTTGAACATATATTGCAATAATGAAATATACATGTATTAAGATAACTATAAACATTACACTTAAACCTGTTAAGGCATACTGTTAAAATTAAAGCAATGAAAAATCTAAAATCTAAATATTTTGAAATGTTTAGCTATGTTTGTTCACTATGGTTAGAATATTCAATGAAAAACATGTTCATTAAAAAATCATCACTACAACTAATGTCTAATGGATAAGATACTAATCAGCAACTCTACGTTTAACAATGTTGAGGAGCTTAGTTAACTCTGTTCATAACACAGGAAATAAAATATATAAAAATATGTCACATGATTTTAAAATATTCCAAAAAATGAGTTTTAAAAGCAATAATAATAATAATAGGAAAAAATACATTTTTTTTCATAAAACTCTTTACATGTAATGGATTATCTAACATTAATTAATAAGCTGATTTTTTAATTAGGTATTCTCCAATTTCTTTGGCTAACATTACCAGAGCATTACACCAAAAGTTACAAAAGCAGATGCTTATGTTGAGCCAACAATTAACCATTGCATTATTGGTCCAACTAAAGACCTATGTGCAAATTGCTATTGGGCCAACACTAGTCCAACCTTGGTCTGCTATCTTAAAATTCTTGAGTGGAAGATGACTTAAAAAAAAAAGTAAAATAGTTAAAAAAATACTGATTTAATTACTTTTTTTAACCTTTTATTTAATAATTATAGAACTGTAGTAATTTTTGACATAAGACAAATTCTAATTACGAGTGACAAATATTTCCCAAAGAAATGAAAACAGAGACTGAGAGGGATTTAAACACATCTTCATACTATCTAAGCTTACAGTACTATAACCTTTATTTATACAGTGATATAGCAGGATTGGAGTGGATGTGAGCACCACTCCTGTACATTTTGTTTTGTATTGTTAAAAGAAAATTGTAAAATACATTGAAACTGTAGTTATAGCATTAAATCAATATTTTAAAATATTAAAATCACTGTATATTTACAATGACGAATTCAAAAATAAGAGAAATTACAAAATAACATTTATTTTATGGTCTGAAGGTACTACATAAACTATGGATAACACAGGCCTGCAAATTTAAACTATATAAAAGTTGTTTTGGTTTTAATAAAAGATTTTCCATAATTCAGCTAATCATTTTTTCTACCACGTAAGGATTTTTTACAAATTGGGAAGAAGAAAAAAAAAACTCTTACTTAGGTTCAATTATTATTTCATTTACCACAATGAACATTTTTTATTGTTACGTTTGTTAACAAAAATACAAATAGATGAAAAGGAAAGAACATTGATGTCAAACAATCATCCTGATTTTTTTTTTGTGAAATTTACATCTTTTAGTCTCAAACTACGTGTTGTGGTCTTTCTTTTACGTATTGCGTTATAACGTTTCATGATGGAGAAAAATGGATATCATTTTTGGATTCAACATCCAGGAATTACCATAGAACATATAAAAAAGACAATAAAATCATTGCATGCCTGTATAATATATCAATTGTATTATTATGACTAATTATACCAGTTGATTATATAAACTTAACTGATAAGCATCTGGCAATAACAAAAAGTAAATGCCCAAACTGCTACCTACACATGCTTGTATGATTCAAGGATTGGAAATTTATAAAAATTTATTTGATGTTCCAGCACTAAAACTTTTCTCACTACATCACTGGTCAAGACATACAAGTAGCTTTTTTATACATTTTTTAAAATAAGAGTTAAGACATATAGGTTGAATAAAAGAACCTACCAACATATTTATAACAACAGAACCTACTGTCATAGTTATAATATTAGAACCTACTGTCATACTTATAATATTAGAACCTACCATGATACTTATAATAATAGAACCTATTGTCATACTTATATTAATAGAACCTATTGTCATACTTATATTAATAGAACCTATTGTCATACTTATCATAATAGAACCTACCATCATACTTATAATAATGGAATTTACCATCATACTTAAAATAATTGAACCTACTGTCATACTTATAAT